CCTACTATGTTTATACCCCGTGTATCAGAGAGATGAGTCTATGCCCGTCTCTGGTTAACATCGCTCAGAATGATACTTTCTAGATCCATCCATTTAACAGCAAATGGATTATTGCTTCATTATTTTATAATTGCCTTTTAAAGCATTCTTATTGTTTTGATCATGGATGCAATGTTGTTAATGTTATAGCATTTTTAGCAAATGCTTTTTTATTGAGATATCGTACTTTACAATTTTATTGAAGTCCTTTCACAGGTGTGGGGCTACTAAACCCAACTCTCCAGCAATGCTCCAGAACTCTCCCCCTATTATCAGACAGTCTCTATTCCCTACTCTTCTTTCAGTCTCCCTAGTTACTATTTCTGTTAGTCATGTCTCAGGGTTTACTGGACTGTCTAACCATGTTCTTTGTTTTTCTATGTTTATTGTATTAGCAAATTTATCTTGTATCTATGATTTCTTTTTGACTCATTTCACTCTGCCACTTTCATTCAAGTTAACGCAAACTGCAAAGCTTCCCTTATCTTCTCTCACAGCTGAATAGTATTCCAGTGTGTGTGTCTACCAGGCTATTTTAACTCTCTCATATGCTGTTGAGTACTATGCTGTTTCTAGATGTTCACTACCACAAATTCTGCTGTGATAATAAAGGGGATATATCTTTTCAGATAAATGTTTTTGTATTCTTGAGATAGATGCCAAGGACTGGAACGGGTGGGTCGTGTGGAAACATTTTATATTGGTCATCTTTTGAGGAGTCCCAAATTGTTTCCCAGCGTGAAGCATACAACACTCCCAGGATAGTGAATAAGCATTTCATTTTCAGCACACACTGCCTATATTTGTTTTCTCTGGCCTTTCTCATATAAATCATTCTCACTGAATTGAGGTGATATTTCATTGTTCTTATTTTCTTTTTTTAAATTTTTTTTTAATGAATCACTGTGAGGTACAGTTACAGACTTAAAGTTTCAATCATACAATGATCGAGTACCCATCCCTCCACCAGTGCCCATTCTCCACCACCAATGTTCCCAGTTTCCCTCCCACCACCTCAACCCACCCTCTACTCCAACCTCTGCCTCTGTGGCAGGCACATTCTTTTCTCTCTCTCTCTCTCTCTCTCTCTCTCTCTCTCTCTCTCTCTCTCTCTCTCTCTTTCTCTCTCTCTCTCTTTCTCTCTCTCTCTCCCTCTCTCTCTCTCTCCCTCTCTCCCTCTCTCTCTCTTTTAAGGTGTTGTGGTTTACAATATAGGTATGAAATGGCTATCATGTTCGGTCTATAGTCTACTTGTTTTGTTTTGTTTTCATTTCATTTATAATCAGTGTCTGTTAACCATCCTTATATCTCACTGGAGAAAATACCTGTTCATCTCCTTTTTCCATCATTATAGGTCTTTTCTTGTTAAAAACCAGATGATGAGCTTTGAAAGTGTTTTGTGCATCTTATAAATTAACCTTTTCCTGTTGAATGGTATGAATTTTTTTCTTTGACTAAGTAGAGTTTCTTTTGAATTTAGGCTTTATTTCTTATAGAAGGTTTTTAGTTTTATTATACTCACACTTATTTATTTCTTCTTTTATTGGCTTTTCATTGAAGTTGTATCATTGAAGGCTCCTCCAAGATGAAATTCTGAGTCATCCTATCTTTTCCTAAATGTATTTTATATATATAGATATAGATTTCTTATTAAGGTCTTTAATCAGTTTTGAGTTGGCCTTTTTGAATGGCATGAGATACAGGTCTAAATTCATTTTCTTACCTGTGGCCTACCAGATTTCCTAGCACTACTTGTTTAAGAGGTTCTCTTTGCCCTACCTCATAGACTACTTCATTATAAATTATCTGTTTAGACACTTGAGGGTTTTAATCTAGGCAATCAATTCAATTCATTGATCTAAGAATCTCTTTTTCTAGTAACAGATTTTTATTACTAAAACTTTGTAATTAAGCTTGGAATATAATGCTTACCATCTTTTTCCTCAGAATTATTTTGTCTATTTTAGGAATTTTATGGTTCTATATTTTTTAATATTTTAAAATTTTTATTTATTTATTTATTTTGAATACCCATCCCTCCACCAGTGACCATTTTCCACCACCACGGATCCCAGTATCCTTCCCACCCCCCATCCCCCATCACACCCTGCCTCTGTGGCAGGGCATTCCCTTTTGTTCTCTCTCTCCTATTGGGTGTTGTGGTTTGTAAAAGAGTTAAGCCTGATTTTCAGGGAAAAACATTGATTTACTTTTCACTGATCACTTTGTATATAAGGAGATGTTGCATGGCCGTGAAAGCGGCCACGAGGTTTGGAATAAAAGTCCTGGTTCCTGCATGCCCGAGCTATGCTTGTAGAGGCTCATGGTCACCGGGATTACATCTGGAGAAGGCGGGATGCGGCACCTACCCCATCTGGGACTTCCCAGTGATCTCAGCTCTGCTTGAAACCTGGAGCATTCTCCGGGAGCTGTGGAGCCTCCCAGTGGTTTTCCTTCTTTGTTGCTGTGTGCTGTAAAGATGGCGCCAGTTCTTTGGAAATTTTAATGGGGATCGCATTGAATCTTTAAATTATTTTGAAAAAGATGGTTGGTTCAATGATGCTGATCCTTCTGGTTCATTGCAAAGGTTGTCTTCATTTCCTTCTGTTCTTGTATTCCTTTCGGAAATAAGTTATAACTTAACTAAATAGGTTTTTCTACTTCTTTGTTAGGTTGGCTGCTAGAGATAGCTAAAATCATTCTTAAATAGGGAAACTTATCTGTAATATTTTCTCCCATGAATCAAGATGTCAAAAATTCTTCCTCTAACACAAAAAAAGTCTTGCTTATTTTCTCATTGTTAGGGTTTGCTCATAAAACTATATCAATTTTTGTACAGAATGTTATTTTGTTAAGGATAATATAAATCAATGCCTTACCAAATAAGACAGTTGTCATCATATTCCCCTACCTTTGCACAAAATCATGATAAAATGATAAAATTTCAAAACCATGTGTGACAAAGAAAGAAGATGAGACTGATCAGTGCCATCCCAGAGTGGCCTTTTAGATTTATAAGTGACTAGATGTTTATACACAAACCTCAGTAAGCACATTCTCTTTTACTCTTCTAACCCTAAAAGTAATCAAATACAGCAGCCAGAGAAATAGAACAGCAGGAGGCAGGGTGGTCACTCTGCACATTGCTGACCAAGTTCTATCCCCAGCACTACATATGGTTCCCCAAGCACGACCAGGAGTGATTCCTGAGCACAGATAAAGAAGTATGCCCTGAACAATGCTGAGTGTTGCACAAAAAAAAAAAACAAATAAAGTAATCAGTGATACATTATTAACTAATCTAACAATACTGTTTTCCAATGCTGAAAGACAAAAGGCATGGATAACATATGCGTTTTTTCTTTCTGAGTATTTTTTATTTTTTTTCTAGTGAATGAATTTTATTCTTTGATCAGAAATAAGGAGGTACAAATTGTGAACTGCAGTTATAATTTAGCACTAAAGGAAGACATTTATTTAACCTCTTAGATAATAATGTAATACAACTGCCAGGTGCATAAAACATATATGTAAAATAAGAGATGAATCAAGTGAATGAACGTATCTACTGTTCTTTTTTTCACAGCATTCAATCATGTTATTTTAGCATGTCTCCAGAAAATCTTCCAGGTATAAAATTATTTAAGTTCTCAAGTGTTATATAAGTCAATCAAACTAGGGTGATTCTTATTTAGTAAATGTAACAAGGTTGGTTATAAACTTATTTCTTTCTATCTATAAAAATTGATTGAATAAGTACTGATACACTGAATAACAAGAGTGTAAATACTTACTCATGTTTTAGAGTGCAATATTAACATTCCATATCCACTATCAATATCTCCTCTAAAATAGTAATTTATTTGATTACATAATCAAGGGTTCTATTTTATCTAATGTGATTTAATCATGTGCTGCTCTCAAGATGGGAAAGTGATCGATGTTTAGCATAGCAAACAAATTCAATCACTTCTCCCTCTATTTCCAGTTGACTGTAAACCTTGAAACTTTCCCTTACTTCTGGAAACAAACTATATTTTAATCATGATGAAACATATCATGACACCTTGGATTGTACTGTTGTTCATCGAATCTTAAAAATGACTTTTGTTTACAAACCATAGGTATTGTCTAACAAGAGCTCACTTTTTTGTTTAATGATGCTTGTTTTAAGAATTAAAATAATTTATATTCTTATGATATATTAAAAAATTAATCACAATGACATGTATGAAAACATTCAATTATTTGTTAAAATCTCTTGACATGCGTCTGGAAAGATAATTCATAATTTAAAGTATTTTTCTTACTAGTTAGCCCAGGTTCAATTCTCAGCACCATATATGGTTCCAAGAACAGGGTCTAAAATCATTCATGAGTTCAGAGTCAGAATTCTTGAAATTAATCAGAACTGCCCCAATTTTCCCCTTTCCAAATTTAAAAGAAGTTCCTTCTTTGTTCTTATTTTACTTTATTTTATTTATTCATTTATGTATTTATTGCCTTGGACCATATGTAGCCAAGTCAGACTGGGCATTCTTTTAGTACTGTCTAAGGATTATACCTGGAAAAATTTGGGAACCATGGGTGGGGTTGGAGATCTAACCAAAATTGGCCATATGTAAGACAGGCAAGTCACCTGTAGTACTATCTTTAGGCTCATTAAAAAAAATTCCTGAACATATATGCAAAGATTCACATTTATATATTCTTCTATATCTGATTTCCATGTAAACTACCTGTCCTCCTTTAAGTTTTATTTATCATATAGAAAACCAATGTATGAAACAAATTGAATACCATTAAGCTATCCAAAAGTACACAGGATTTGGAAATCAAGTCAAATATTATATTAATTAACATTTCTAAGCAAAATCCAAGTGAAAGAAACACTGTTTTCTTTATCTTACACTTATCTCTCTTCCTTTTTCACATAGATCAGGAAGACTCAGAAGCCAGGAATGAGAAATCATACAGCAATAACCACATTCATCCTCCTGGGATTGACAGATGACCCACAGCTGCAGGTTCTTCTTTTTATATTTCTACTTATCACCTACATGTTGAGTGCTGTTGGAAACCTGACCATCATCATTCTCACCTTTGTGGATGCCCACCTTAAAACTGCCATGTATTATTTTCTGCAAAACTTTTCCTTCTTAGAAATCTCATTCACATCTGCCTGTATCCCGAGATTCTTGTACAGTTTAGCAATAGGAGATAGAACCATTACTATCAACGCTTGTATATGTCAAGTATTTTTTGATAGCCTATTTGGAATAACAGAATTTTTTCTTCTGGCAACTATGTCCTATGATCGTTATGTAGCCATCTGCAAACCCCTTCATTATATGACTATCATGAATCCACTGGCCTGCAAAAAACTTATCTCTGGCTGTTGGATAATTACATTATTGCTCATGATACCACCATTTGGCTATGTGCTGACATTGGAATTTTGTGTCTATGAAATAGACCACTTTCTCTGTGATGCCAACGCTATCCTGAAGATCTCATGTTTGGATACAGAACTCATAGAGAACATGGTTCTTTTCTGCTCTTCATTTATCCTACTAGTGACTCTCACATTTGTGATTTGGTCCTATGGAAGTATCATTCACACGATTTTTGGGTTCCCCTCTGCTCAGCAAAAGATAAAGGCCTTTTCTACCTGTTCCTCCCACATGATTGTGGTCTCCATCACTTATGGCAGCTGTATCTTCATCTATATCAAACCTTCTGCAAAAAATGAAACAGTCGCTAATAAGGGAGTATGGCTATTATTTACTTCAGTATCCCCCATGTTAAACCCATTTATTTATACTCTGAGAAACAAACAAGTAAAAAATGCCATGAATGGCTTTATAAAAAAACTACTACTCTTGAGATAACAAAGTGGTTAAGGAACTTGCCTTGTGAGTAGCTGATCAGGGTAGTCTGATTACTGAAAACATAGCAAATAGTATGCCCTGAGCACCTTGTGGTGTTCAGGGTCTTCTCAAAAACATATTTTAAAGAAAAAAACCTCCTGCTCTCAAGAAATTAAGTGCATGGTAAATTAAACATACAGTAAACTCAAGACTTATGTATTTTGTCCCTTTGTATTCTGCCTACATTTTATACTAATGGTGAGATCAACTGACTCTTCTTCACATAGAATAGCGTCTCTGGCTTTAAATAGCAAAATCATCTAAATGAAGTTTAACTTAAAAATCAATAATAATCTCCCTTATATTGATCCTCAATATATAAATGATAGTTATGTCTAGTCCTAATCTATTTGTAATCTCTATGCACATGCATAATTAGTAAATAAAAGGTAAAAGAAATATTTACAATTACATGAAAAAGAACAGATTTTAGCTATCAAAATGGATTTAGAAATAAGCTCTTATTTTTATACATCTATCAATTTTTTTTCTTTATAGGAAGGTTTTATTAACATGGCTATGAGCAAACTACTGTTTTCGAATGGAGTTTTTTTGTCAACATATACTCTAAGAAAAAGAATGACCTATTTAATGCTTTAATGGTAAATTAAACATACAGTAAACTCAAGACTTATGTATTTTGTCCCTTTGTATTCTGCCTACATTTTATACCAATGGTGAGATCAACTGACTCTTCTTCACATAGAATAGCGTCTCTGGCTTTAAATAGCAAAATCATCTAAATGCAGTTTAACTTAAAAATCAATAATAATCTCCCTTATATTGATCCTCAATATATATAAATGATAGTTATGTCTAGTCCTAATCTATTTGTAATCTCTATGCACATGCATAATTAGTAAATAAAGGGTAAAAGAAATATTTACAATTACATGAAAAAGAACAGATTTTAGCTATCAAAATGGATTTAGAAATAAGCTCTTATTTTTATACATCTATCAATTTTTTTTCTTTATAGGAAGGTTTTATTAACATGGCTATGAGCAAACTACTGTTTTCGAATGGAGTTTTTTTGTCAACATATACTCTAAGAAAGAGAATGACCTATTTAATGCTTTTTTGTGGCAGATTTGGTACAACGTGGTCAATGACTTTATCTCAGATTCCCTTTCAAAGCTCTTGTTACTTTTTGTTTATTTTATTTCATTTGTTTGTGTTGCCCAGGCTCTGTTCAAGAGAGCCATGATTTAATCCTAATGATACTGCTCAGGGTGACGTAGGCCTCTTGGGTCAGTGATTCATACTTGATCTCTTACTATGTGGTTCCTTAAAGTCTACATTATATCATAGGGTTCACCTTTTAAATTTATTATATTCTAACAACATCCTTAATTTCAAGATTTATGGCTGACCATCAGAGTAATTTGTTTTCTCCTTAATATTTCCTTCTAATTCAAGGATAGAGCAATAGTACAGTTAGTAGGGCAACTGTCTTGAATATAGTCAACACAGGTTCAGTCCCCTGCATGCCTTATGTTCCTCATTCACAGTCAGCAGTGATCTCTAAACTCAGAGCCAGTAGTTATTCTGTGATACCACAGGATGTGATCCCAAAACATACAAACTAACAAATAAACAAATTTTCCTTCTACTTTGACGAAAATATATGAACTTTTCTAGAGGACCGTTCAAGTTTCATAGTGATCTCCATAATCAGCTAAGAACTCTTTGTGATAATTTTGATATTTTTCTATGGCTTAAACAGCTTTATAGCTTATTGACTAAAGAATTAAAATAAAGCCCTAATTATAACTTGTGTAATGCATTCAGCAACTATTTGGAGTTTTAAAAAATCACTTAAAGAAATAACATATTTCAGGAATTCTGTAATATGGTAAAAATGTTTCTAAACAAATGATTGTCATAGATAAAAAATGTTTCACTAGTGACCTGCAATCAGTGTTTGCTCAACTCCTGATTGTCAAATTTACTGTGCAATGAATATGATAGTGGACCACAGGATTTAGTATATTTAACAAGTTTTATATCCTTTAACATATGCTATAAAATATTTATAATGATTATTCATAAAGTAAAAATTAAGGAAGCTATAGAGAGAGAAAAGGAAATAATGTCCATGCCTTTCACACAGACAATCCCAATTCAATCCCCAATACCGTGTATGTTTCCCTGAGCACCACCAGACATTATCCCTGAATACAGTTTCAGGAGTACTCACTTGTACACCACTGCGTATAGTTCAAATACAAACAAAAAATAAAATGTTGGATGTATTTGATTTTGATTCTCTTAATAGTTGCTTAAATTTACTTTGTGTAAGATAGTGGAATTCTAAGGCAGTTATGCATAATTTTAATGATGCATGTTGCAGAAGGTATCAAACAAGATGATTGGTACTAGTTTTATGGGCAGTAAGAACACTTGGAGTAGGTTTATATTTTTAATAATAAATTAAAAATTAATATTTAAAATCACTTGTATCACTTGTCATCCCGTTGTTCATCGGTTTGCTCGAGCAGGTGCCAGTAACATCTCCATTCGTCACTGTCACGTGTTAGCGTAGCCCAATGAGGAATTGGGGTATCTTTCAGGGTCAAGGGAATGATGCCCATTATTGTTACTGTTTTTGTCATGTCGAATACGCCACAGATAGCTTGCCAGGCTCTGCCATGCAGGCGGTATACTCTCTGTAGCTTGCCATGCTCTCCGAGAGGGAAAAATATTTATCAAAAAATAAAAAAAACCTTATCTTGAAATAAGAAGGAGCTTCACATACTTTGCTCAAATTTGTCATGATCATATCTCTCTTTGTTCCCAACTACTTCTGCTATGTAGCTTTTATAGATAGCACATAGATGAGTGTGCTTAAAAAAATGGTCTTTTCCATGCAATCTCTGGTTGTAAAGTATCAAACTTTCAAATAAGATATCTGTGAATAAGGAACCAAATTGCTTAAAAATTTCAGTATTTTACTAATTACTCACTTCCTTATTTACCTTCCATGTATTTTCTCATGGTCAATAAACTGACTCAAACGATTTAAATTATCCCACCACTTAGAGAGAATAGCTTCTGAAATAATCTGGAACCAATATCAATTATAAAATGATTATGTGTATTTCTTGTTCCTGAAAATTTTCCAACATTTTATTTATTTATTTACATACTATTTAAAAATATACAGTGTAGTTTTATGTAGCAAAAAATACAAAATATCTGACTTCTATTCCCAATATATCAATATATCAATTTCCTAACATTTCCACATTTAATGGTGTAAAATAATAATGCTTATTATCATTTTTAATTGGTGATATAAATGCAAGATTAGAATCCTTCACACCAAAGTGTCATATTCTCCAAGCAATAAAATATAATTGCTAATTATATAATTTCAAAGGGGAATTATTACCTTTGTAATTTTCTTGATTCTGTGCCCAAAGAATCCAAGTGAGATTGAATGAATGCAAACGGTCACTGTCACTGTCACTGTCCTCCAGTTTGTTCATCGATTTGCTCAAGCGGGTCCAGTAACGTCTCCATTGTGACACACAAAAGAAAAATTTCTGAGAATAAATTAAATCAATGGGAAAAATAATCAAATGCTATTTACTTACAGTAAAACAAATTCATTTATTATATTTTAATATAATGTCATATTTTAATATAATATCATATCTATGATATGTGCAATGTCTGATCTCTAATGTGTAAAGTCTAGGAAAAACGAAGGTTTTAGAAACATTAAGGGGAATTCTTCTTTTGGAGACCTCTCCAATAATTCTGAGACTCCCTGCATTCCTTTGTCTTTCCTTTGACAAAGTGTTTCTCTTGGTAGGCAATGGTGCACTCGGTAGGCAATGCTGAAATGGTTGCTTCTGGCAGCAGGTAGAGAGGGTTAATTCTAAGCTACTTCCCATATTATTTAATGATGACTAAGTCCAATACTCAGTCAGAAGTTCATTATCAACTGGGGAAAAAAAAAACACTTTATTTAGAATCTTAGATGAATCGCACAATCTAGCAGGTAGTGTGTTGCAAGCACACACCACCACATACAGATGCATGCTCTAGTTTATAGACAGAGTTGCTCTCTTTAGATAATGAATGCAATTGTGTAAAAAGGGAAAGAGAAATATGAAAAAGCAAGAAATTCTTATAAACCAGGAAACTAACAGATTGTACTCTTTGAAGGCAATGTTGAATAATTTTTACTGATTTCTCTATGTTAGCTGGTACTGTTTATCCAAGCTTACAGTAAGATTACAGATTACAGGAAACATATAGAAAGTTCTAAAAACTAACCAGATAACCAGTATGAAACATGAATTCATTCATGTAGCATACATAAAACAAAATAGTTAAACCTAATAGATTAGAGAAAGTGAAAAATTAAGAAAACTATTACAATTATTTTTTATTTATTCATTTATTTGAAAAAACAAACACTGTCCTCCCATTGTTCATCAATTTGCTCAAGCGGGCCCAGTAACATCTCCATTGCAAGACTTCTTGTTACTGTGTTTGGCATATGGAATACTCTCGGTAGCTTGCCAGGCTCTCTGAGAAGGGCAGAGGAATCGAACCCAGATCGGCCGGGCTGGCTGCACGCAAGGCAAATGCCCTACCGCTGTGCTATCACTCCGCCAAACACAGTAACAACAAGTCTCACAATGGAGATGTTAGTGGGCCCGCTCAAGCAAATCGATGAACAACGGGAGGACAGTGATAACAGTCTAAACAAATTCATTTATTTTATTTTTATTTACTTTTTTATTAGGAAACACCATGAGGTACAGTTGTAGACTTGTACGTCTACAACTTTCGTGCTTGGGTTTCAGTCATACAATGATGGAGTACCCATTCCTCCACCAGTGCCCATTCTCCACCACCAATGATCTTAGCAGCCCTCCCACCTGCACACCCCATCCCCCCTACCCCACCCCACCTCTGTGGCAGGGCATTCCCTTTTGCTCACT